ATGGTACGAATGGAGACACGGATAAACAGGAAGTTGACATTGGATTCTTATAAAAATGTATCCCACCATATGCCATGCCTAAACAAAGAGTGTGCTAAATTTTCAAGCCTCTGCAATGAGTAGTTGCTGAGAAAACTGCAAACAAAATTTGATATGTATGGTACGGACAGACGCACGGATGAACAGGAAGTTGACATCGGATTTGTACAAAAATGAAACCCAACACACACAGACAGACAGACACACACACACAAGGGTAAAACAGTATACTATATTTTCTATAATGCTTGTTGGATCGTTTTAATTTGATCTGGATTGTCATTTGAAAAATAGCATTTTTTCCTATAATGCTTGTTGGATCGTTTTAATTTTGATCTGGATTGTCCTTTGAAAAATAGCATTTTTTCCTCAAATTTTGCAATTTTCATAAACACAATGCAATTTTCTACTATTACTTTCCGTAGGTATATGTAACTTGTTTCCCAAAAATTTTATCCATGGGTTAAAGAAATATTAACACTTATATTTCTATACTCATGAACTGTGTTTTATTAAAAAATCTCAAAAGTCTAACTGGCTCTTCTTTATATGTTTTATTAGATATTTATATAATGCATTTATTAGCAGCAAATTAAAAATTCTAGAGCAAATAAAATATCCCTAACATTTTCTTCGAAAAAATATTTTTAAAAAATCATTTAAAAAAACTTGAGATGTCAAGTTTTTCATGCTTAAACCATATTTCGAAAGAGATATCTTAAAGATCCATTAAATAAAATTTTGGTGTAGGCTAGCATTCCACCTTAAAAAGTTACAAGGTTGGAGTCCAGGAAAGAATAATTCCGGACCCGATTGCTCACAACTCAATATTCACATTAAAAAAGAACAATAACGTTAAAATACCGAATCTTGCGTTTAATTCATTTTTATTTATATTTCTGTTATTGCAAAACAAAAATTACAAACACACAAATTAGATTTATAACAAGTATTCAGCATAATTCAGCACACTCGAAGACTCACAAGTCCTTTGAAAAAATACAAATCGGAAGCAGAGCAAACACGGGCTTCTAAAAACAACAGAGGTGGGATCAGGTGCCATGGAGGAGTAAACATCCCCTGTCGACCGGTCAAACCCGCCGAGTGCTTATTTTCATGATCGGGCAGACGGAAAAATCCGTACACAATTCAGTGTTTAAATAAAGACGAAAAATTAGAATGAAGAACGTCAGTCAGCATTCGACTTAATGATAGATTGTATTTGCTGACAAAGTCATTGTATCGACCATAGAACTTACAAAATGATGACTTTATACGAGACTGTTGATATCCTTTTTTCATCAACTTGTTTGTCAATAGATCGCCTCGTTTTAGAAATTGTACGTGGAGCATGCTCTTGCTAATCGAATCAACTTGGAAACATAAACTCCATATGCAGGTGATAAGGGTATATTGCTACATAGATAAAGTTAAAGTCATCACGTTTTCATAAAGTTTTGTTTGTTAGGTTACCACAAACGTCATTTTCTAGTAAAATGTCCAAATATGAAACAGATGTGTCAGACTCTATGGTGTCTTATTTCAAGTTTAGTGGGATATATCGAGTCGACATATAAAATAATCAGAGTCAAGGGTAATATTACAAATTACTAAGGTGAGTTTTATTATTTTATTATTAGAACTTAGTGTACTATAGCCCTCCATGAAGCTCGTCCGTTTATGCCCATTCTCTGATGTTGTGGACGTTTGTTCATTAACATGCACAATATTGTAGGTTATATTTGCATAGAAAGTTATTATACCGACCACGGAATTTACGAAATGCTGACATTGAATGAGGTTGTTGAAATCGCTGTAACATCATCTTATCTGTCAGTAGCCTGCCTCGGTTTAAAAATTGATCGTACTCACATGTTCTTGAGTATCGACCATCACGGTAGCTCAGTTGGTAGAACGCTCGCTCCGTGATCGGAAGGATGTTTGTTCGACTGACCTAAGTCGTTAAAAAATAGGTAGCAACAAGCGCTCGGCAATTTGGAGTAAAAGTTGTGGATCTTTCGGATGTGACCTTAAAAACCGAGTCCCCGTGTCACGGTAGGCGTTGGCACGATAAACAACCCTCACTGCTCAAAAGCCCTGAGTGCCAAGTAAAGGTCTAAATTTGAAGCCCCTCACCGGTATATGGTGACGTCCCTATATGAGTGAAAAATTCTCGAACGGGACGTAAAACAACACACAATCAATCAATCTTGAGTATTGAATAAGTTACGAGACGTGAACACCATATGTAGGTGATAGCGGAATATTACTACATAAATAAGGAGAGTTGACGATGGAAAAGCTGTAGTCATCTCGTTTGTCCTACAATTTAGTTGGTAGGTGGCCCTTATCGTCTATAGTCAGTAAAACATCCAAATATGAAACAGATGACAGATGTGATGTCTTTTATTACAAGTTTACTGGAATATAACGAGTCGACATAAGAATTTAAAAAATTCCATTGTTCATGGATAAAATATCGTCCATTTATTTATATGTCGAGTTGAAGGCCAAACAGATATTTTTATTATTTCATTTTCTGGAGTTTTTTTTATTATAACCTACAATTTATTATTTTTAACTATGTTTCTTATATAAACAACTGAACAGCACATGTTATATGCGACAAATTTTTACACCCTGTGTACAATTTTTTAAAACCTGTGCATATGCTGAGAGCTATTGCGTTTATGGAGAAATAAATGCTACTGCTAGGTACGGGTTTATAGAGAAAAATAACAGAGTATATGCAAATATGAAGATAACGAACAGTATTCAATCTCGAAAGTCCAATGAAACGATACAAATTTGGAACAAAGCAAACATGGACCTCAAAATTTAGAGGTGGGATCAGGTGCCATGGAGTAGTGTACATCCTCTGCCGACCGGTCACACCTGCAATGTGCTCCTTGTCATGATCGGAAAACTCGGAAAAATTAAATTTTAAATTTTAAATTTCAAAGATTGTATTTCCCACTTGCATTTAAATATCTTCAGATTTTATGAAAAGAGGAAATAAAACACAGATGTCTTCCTTTCCCTAATAACAATATAACCTGCTTAATTTTTAATTTTCGATGTGAGGAATTTTATTGCTGCAACTGTATAGGCTTTTACTGGATACAGTGCCCCTTCTGCGTCATCAGCGGTCATTGCAAGGTTTTTCTAGGCTGCTTCAATTTAACAATTGATATCAAATTCAACAGCGCACTTTTATAAGATGCCGATTCTCATAATATTTGAGATGTGATGTTTTATATGCAGAAATTAATTCCTTGAGCAAGTTTGCGCTATATAAAATCTTATGTCAAAATTGAACAAAATTTATGCGTTTTGTCCTCTTTTTAAAGATAAGGGAAAATCTCAACAGGTTGTATTTTGATTTTGTTCTCTTATGATCCCATCATCTATGTTCTTGTGTTTACTGTATGCAACCATAAGAAAGGTAGTGAATGTACATTTAAGTCTAAATACTTCAACAAGTTGTACGTAAATCCAACATTTCATCAGTCGTTTCCTGAACCCATTTATACACGGGTTAATCTTTGTGACCGAAACATGGGTTATAGTTTTTAAACCATTTTTCTCAAATAGTCTTTTAATTAAAAGTTCCATTCTAACTGTTTGCAGAAATTGCTCCAAAAAAGAAAAAAATAGAAAATGTGATTTGTGATTGTAAGCAACCGACCAAATCTTCAATAAGAATATAGAGATCTAATAAGTTCAAGACATGTCTGGTTCTTAGGTTGCCTTTGTTTTTACAACCTAAAATTTTTTTCTCCGCTATAAATTAAAATAAGTGATTTATCGTTTCAGAGAGCGTTTGCTCGGAGGAATTTGATTCCATAAAGCTAGACAATACAAAATTTCCTAATGAGTAAAAAAGAGAGAGAAATAACAGATATCAGTAGGCGTGGGTCAATTGTACTCTGCAAGGTTTGATACAACTGATTGCATTTGAACGCAAAGAATATTGCGTTTATCCGCAAGGATTATTGCATTTAATCCCAAAGAATATTGCGATTAATGGCAAAAATATTGCGTTTAATGGAAAAAATTATTTCGTTTAATCGCAAAAGTATTGCATTTAATCGCAAAATTATTGCGTTTAAACGCAATTTACATTGCGATTAAACGCAATCTTTTGCGTTTAAACGCAATGATTATTGCGATTAACAGCAATGTCTCTAAACTGGCCTCAACCGGCTTCCGTAGGTTTTTTCTTTTTCTTTTTTTAATCAGATATTCTTTCAATACATTAAATATTGACAAATCTGATGTTAAAAGGTGTTTAAATTTTGTTGACATCCTCTCTGATTTAAATAAGTGACATACGTGAAACATTTTTTTCTAGGTGAGCTAAAAAATATTGGAGTAGGCCTATCTTATCAGCACAGCTTATCAATGCCGATATAGATGTATTGGAAGATAAAATCAATTAAAAGTTCATGTCGATAATTCTTTTAATTATAGGCCTATCACTTAATGTAAAATTTTTGACACTGTAGAATTTACACGCTCTTTGTCCTATTAGAATTTCATTGATTACTGACTTTATAAATACCACGAGAAAACATGACATCATCGAAAAACACGCACTTCTGAAACACTGAAAGTGCAGCTACGCATAACACATGATGATACGGAAGCTGGTAGGTGCCAGGTAAAAAAAAATTATTTGGCAGTCGCCAGTTATTTATGTAGCAGCAGATAATATTTTTTTCCTGGCACATACCGGCTTCCGTGGGCTTCCGTAAGATGACCATTTGAACAACAAAATTATAAATGGTACTTGAGTTAAAAATAATTCAAAAATTTTATGTGAAAGAAAGCAACCGCATCACTTATTCTGTCTTGAAGCATTATATTATACTTATCCCCTAATGAGATGAAAAATTCGATTCTAAGGTACATCTGCTTGCCTATCTAAAGAAATAAATTATAAATAATAGAAGTCTTACTCTGACAGAGTTTATCACCACTTGGTTTTCTTGTGTACGCTGCCCAATATCGTTCAGGCTTAACCTCGCCTTCACACCGTACACATCTATTGTTCCCTAAAGTTGTGCAGTGGTTTTCGTGACAGTGGTCAATATTCGGACAAGCTGTGTAAAATAATATGAATATATACCGATAGAAAAACAATTAGGTTCACTTTCAAGGGGAATTGTAAATTCTTTACAATCTACAAATAATCATCAGCCATTATTAAGTTAAAAAAATCATAGAGAACAAGATACAACATGTATCTAGATATTCAAATGTAGGACTTATGTTCAAGAGTGAGAATTATAATGGGAATAGATTTGGATATAGCATGTTTAACATTGGAAACCGACAGAATTTGTGATTCGGTATTAAAGTGAGAATATACAGTGTAGGAACAAGGAAAGAAGGAAGAGATGCAATAACTACAATATATTGTAAGGAAGCCCATTTAGGATCAAAAATATTTTTTTAATTCGTTATAACGAATTGTCAAGTTTCTTAAAATGAATTTCATTTGCAATATAATTCTTTTTAATTTGTTATAGCGAAATTAGACTATAACACATTTGTTAATTTGTTATAATAAATTAAATCCGTCATATCGAATTCATAAATACTTTTTTACATGCCATAAATGTCTAATTCGATTAAATGAATTTAATTCGTTATAACAAATTTTAGTATTCGTTAAACAATATACCGGTATGTCTGAATTCGAACGTTTAAACAAATTTAATCTGATATAGAAAAAAATTGAAATCGTTATAACGAATTCAACAAATGTGTTCTAACAAGTTTAATTCGTAATAATGAATTCAAAAAATTGTTAATATGAATAAAATTCGTTTTAACAAATTCAGCAATTCGATATATCTATATATCGAATTCGAAAATATTTTTTGATAGTTCCTATAAATGGACTTCCGTAACATTGCCATAAGGGAGCTCGAGTCATCAGTGTATTTTTCAAAAGTTCCATAAATCTCCCAATAACCCAAGCAGATTGTGATACGGTGTGATCTTTGATAATAATGAATGAAATCGTCAGGTCATAATTTCTTGCATCAAATGTTATTATCTCTTACAAATCTGTGTCGTAAAATTTCAACTTTGCATTAGATGTTTTATATCAATGCTGCCTACATATAAAATTATTTTGATTAAAAATATATGAAGAAATAACAAATGCTTCTGCATTTTTTTTTCAATATTATATCCATAAAAATGAGCCACAAAGAACAGTTCAATAAGTGTTTTCACTCGGACAAGAAATCTTGGATAGAATAATACATCTCGGATTATTTTTCAAATGCACATAAAGGAAACATGAAATGATTATTAAAATTATGGAGTAAAAAATCTAAAACTTACCTATGCAATGTGAACCAAGAGCATAGAAGTAATTTGGTTCAGGTGATGGTCGTAAACAATCACAGACACCTGGGCTTATACATCGCCCATGACTTACAACATACTGTGTCCTCAGATCTTTATTAATGATGCTTCTTACAGCATAACATGCACGATATTTGGTGATCGATCCGCTGCAGATAGCTAAAAAATAAAAGTTCAGCATGAAATTTGAGTCAGTATGAAACTGAGTAATGTTTCATGTTGATTGTTTGTAGTATTGTTAGTAGGAATTGATATATAAATGAATGAAACCATACCGTTGGAGCAGCTTTCTCTATCCTCAAAGGAAGAAGAATACCCATTTTCACACCTGAGTTTATACTTGGTCACTTCTCTAACGAATGAAGAAAAAAAAAATCAAGTCGCTGCTCAGTTCGGGTATATCGATACATAAAATGTAAGTTTCTCAAAGGTGAGAATAATTTTATTAACGCATTTCACAAAACATGACTCAATACTTTAGTCGGTGGCGTCTACCAAACAGGGATATGGCAAAAAGGGGGCGGGGTGATTATATCTGCAATTTATTGATGAACATAATGATTTGAACTACAAATAGTTTCAAACATTTTCTGCAATTTATTTTTTTGAAAGATTATGAAACAATTTGTTGCACTCTTGACTGCAGTAAAATTCAAAAGTAAAACCAATATAGAACACAAAAATTCTTGAAGTGTTGGCAAAGTCATCAAGTGGAAGCAAAATTGTGCAAAGAGCAAGAGCCACTTAAGGCCTTTTTTGGCCCTGAGAATTTCTGAAAAATCGGAACTGCTCAGTTTTGGTTGAAAAATGCAGTATTTATAACTTGGACCCTTGGTGACCGTGTATCTATTAAACATGACGTAATTTTCTCTCTAGTCAATGCATTATGACGTCATGAAATGTGTCATATTTTCCATATCCTGTAAATTCTCTTAAAAATGGCCAAAAGTTGAGGTATTTTTTCAATATTTCATATAGAGCACAACCTCTGATCCAAAATATGCAATATCATAATGAAAGATCTGTTTCTGAAGATCACAAAACATGTTTTTAGATCGTGGGCTGTGCTCATGTTTTAATTCTTTGCTGAAGGTAGTCAGATACGCATAATTTCTGCAAAATTCAAGAACATTGCTTTTTCTCAAAGTCTGTTTTCCAATACCTGGATTTTCAAAAAGAAATTTTGTTATAGGAAATGAGAGCACTAAGTCTCTACTTTATTTTGATACGTGAAATGGGACAGAGGGTGATAGTCAATTAATTGATATAAGGACAGGGCCATTTTATGCATAAAGTGAACCTAGCTCTTTATAGTCCTAAACTTCATGGTTAAAACAGATAAAATAATTTAATCTTGGCTTTTTATCTTGAATATTCCCTATTTGTGTCTAAAACTTAGCTAAAAATATATTTAGAAGATAAAAGTGTATTTTATAGTATATTTTCCTTCACTGGACAAACACTGTTAGCAATTGAGGTCTACCAGAAACATTCTACTCATCGATTTTGTCTTTATATTTATTCATAATTGATCAGCAATAATTCTAACATATTTGTTGCACTCCTGACTAAGAGTATGCGATGCATTAAAGTAAAATTGTGAAGCATAAATTACACCAGAACATGTTCAGTTTTTTCAGTGAAGTTGAGGTGGAATTACTTGAATTTTATACCAATTTTTCAGTTTCTTTTTTTAAATTCATATAAAAATTTAAAGAAAAGACATATGCCGAGACATAGAAGTTTATGTTAGGGTCAATGTACGAGTAGCGTTTCATTCCTTAAAAGTAATGGAGCCGAAACCCCGAAGGCCCATTGCTTTTAAGGAATGGATTGCTACGAGTACATTAACTCGATTAAAACCCACTGTTTTAGATGCTTGTAATTATTGTTTGTTAATATATAATAAAACATTATATAAAAGATACACCGTAAATATATATTCAACATATTAGTAGTATTTAACAGGTTGGAGAGAATACTCAAAATCGCGTATTATCCGTGAAATTGCGTGTAGTCCCTGAAATCGGGTATCGTTGATTCCGCAAAATCGGGTATAGTGAAATATATGGAGATAACGAACAGTATTCAATCTCAAAAGTCCAACAATACAAAATAGGAGCAGAGCAAACACGGACCTCCGAAACAATAGAGGTGGGATCAGGTGCCATGGAAGAGTGAGCATCCCCTGACGACCGGTCACACCCGCCGTGTGCTCCTTGTCATGATCAGGAAATAACGGAAAAATTCCGTCGACAATTCAGTGTGTAAATAATCGCCTAACAATTTGTTTGAAAAACGTCAGTCAGCATTTGACTCAATGATAAATTGTATTTGCTGACAAGGTCATTGTATCGACCATAGAACTTACGAAATGATGCTTTTAAACGTGACTGCTGATTGTTTCATTAACTTGTTTGTCAATAATTTACCTCGTGTTAGAAATTGTACATACGTAGAGCATGCTCTTGCGTATCGAATTAACTGAGAGATATAAACCTCGTATGCAGGTGATGAAGCTATATTGCTGCATAAGTAAGGGAAGTAGACGATTGAAAACTTAAAGTCATCACGTTTATCATAAAGCTTGGTTGTTAGATTACCATTAACGTCTTTTTAAAGGAAAATATCTAAATTTGAATAAGATGTGTCAGATTCTGTGGTATCTTTTATTTCAAGCTCACCGGGATATATCGTAACGACATAAGAATGGAAATAACCATTGTTAATTGACAATACGTCGTCGATATATCTAAATGTCGAGTTGAAGGCCACAGCAAGTGTTTTCTTCTTTTCACGTATAAGATTTTGGACAAATTCTGCTTCATATGAATACAAAAATAGGTCTGCTAATAACGGGACAGAGTAATCACCTTATAGAATTTAAATATTGTGATGGCGCATTTTGCCGAGTCAATTTTCACCTACAGATGAATATAATGCAAAGGTATCAGTAGTCGAGAAAGAATTTCGAAGTCTGTTTTTTATGCGCACAAGGCAACATATACTCACGGAGAATGGTGCGTTGCAACGCACCAAAACAGGTATTCGTTCTGCTTTATATTATGTACAATAATAAAAGTATTAATTTCTGAAATATTTTATGTACAAAGTACTCCTCAAAATGAGAGGGGTCCTTCTGATGAGACCTTAAAAACCGAGTCCCCGTGTCACGGCAGGCGTTGGCACGATAAAGATCTCTCACTGCTCAATGGCCCTGAGTGCAGAGTAAGGGTCAAAATTTGAAGCCCTTCACCGGTATATAGTGACATCTCTATATGAGTGAAAAATTTTCGAATGGGACGTAAAACAACATACAATCAATCAAAATGTGAGTAAGATATAAATGCAAATCGTTATGAGTTTCCAGATATTAATTACAATGTCAGAATTGAAAAGTTGGTAGAATTGTAAATCCTACGCAAATGAATCGCGCTATTACGGTTCTTTGAGGTTAAATGTCACCCCAGTTTGTGATTAGCCACAAGAAACCAAGTAGTTTTAAGTATTTGACTTAATTCATGAGATAATTAATTAAATTAGAAAATAGATTATTTGCTGACATTTAAGCATATTCTATAAATAAGAGTCCCACGGGCCTAAACGTTCACCTGAGTATAATAAACAATTTAGGGAATCCATAGAGAATTAAAAAAAAACCCTGATAGATGAAGCTTTGTTGCCCAAAAGCAAGAGAAATAGGATGATCAAGATCAATGTATTAATTAGTCTCATATTAAAATGAAATTCTAATCTGCACCCCTCCCATTTATCACCTTGCAGACTATTAATAAACTATTAGTGCTTCTGTACTACTTTTAACCCCATATTATAACCTCTCATATTGGCCTCTCTTGGTCTTTTAAGAACATTTAATAAAATAAGTTACTTTTGTCTCATCTTTATTTATCTATTATTTATAAGTCTACCTGATCATTAAAACTATAGAAGTAATTTTTGTATTATACAATAAAAATTCTTGCATAATTCTCTTATTTTATTAACCTTTCAAATGCATTACTTATAATGATTAATAATGAAAAGTGAATGGCAAATGGGAATAATTTCTCTCAGTAAGATACAAATTAATAGGTCTTCCAAGAATTTATTGGAATTCCCATGGGTACCAATTGCACCCTATATTAGCAGACCTAGTTTTGTATTCATATAAAGCAGAATTTGTTCAAATTCTTACACATTAAAAGAAGAAAACATTTTCTGTGGCCTTCAACTCGACATTTAGATATATCGACGACGTATTGTCAATTAACAATGGTTATTTCCATTCTTATGTCCATACGATATATCCCGATGAGCTTGAAATAAAAGATACCACAGAGTGGGAGACATCTGTTTCAAATTTGGATATTTTACTAGAAAAAGACGTTAATGGTAACCTAACATCCAAGCTTTATGATGAACGTGATGACTTTAACCTTTCAATCATCAACTTCCCTTCCAGTCGCCCGCGTGGCGCAGTGGTTAGAGCGTCTGCTCTAGATCGCGAAGTAAGAAGTTGATCCTTACGTCGCGGGTTCGAATCCCACTGTGGGACGTGGAGACCGGTACTTCGGATAAGAACGTATAAACCGAGGTCCCGTGTCGCAGTAGGTGCTGGCACGTTAAAGATCCCTCACTGCTCAATGGCCGTAAGTACCGAGCATAGGACAAAATTTGCAGCTCTCCACTGGCAAGTGGTGGCGTCTCCATATGAGTGAAAAATTCTCGAGAGGGACGTTAAACAACATACAAACAAACAAACAACTTCCCTTAGTTATGCAGCAATATTTCTTCATCACCTGGGTTTATATCTCTCAGCTGATTCGATAAGCATATCGCTACGTATGAAAATTTTCTAAAACGAGGTAAGTTATTGACAAAAAAAGTTGATGAAACAAGAATATCAACAAGAATATCAGCAGTCTCGTTTAAAGTCGTCATTTCGTAATTTCTATGGTGGATACAATGACCTTGTCAGCAAATACAATTTAACATTAAGTCAAACTCTGACTAACGTTTTTAGGTCACCTGAGTCACTCAGGTGACCTATTGCTATCTGTTTTCGTCCGTCGTCGTCCGTCGTCCGTCGTGTGTTAACATTTGAACATTTTCAGCTTCTTCTCTGAAACCGCTGAACCAATTTCAGCCAATTTTTGCATATGGCATCTATGTGTGAAGGGGAACAAAATTTGTGAATTCCATGGTCCCTGCCCCCCTGGGGCCTGAGGGGTGGGGCTAAAACCACCAAAATTAATGCAATCTTTAAAAATCTTCTTCTTTACTCCTGGACATCAAGCAGTCAAACTGTTGACATGATTGTAATAAGCATTGAGCCCTCTACCAAATTGTGAA